AGGCACATTATAATTAATATGTTGAAAATTAAAGAGAATGCTGCAAGCAGCAAGAAAAAAACAACTTGTTACATACAAAGGGAACACACCTAAAACTATGCGATCTCTTCAGTAGAAACTTTGTAGACCAGAACAGAACGACATGATTTATTCCAAGTGCTGGAAGAAAAAAACTTCAACCAAGAATATTCCACCTGGCAAAGTTGATGTTAAGAACTGAAGGGGAGATAGAGTTTTCCAAACCAGCAAAAGGTAAAAGAGTTCATCACCACCTAACCAACTTTACCAAAAATGTTAAAGGAACTTCTTTATATGAAAAGAAAGGGCACTAATTAGTAACAAGAAAATTTATAAAAGTATAGGTAAAGGTAAGTATATGGTAAAGGTAAATATATAATAAGGTAGTAGATTAATCACATAAAGCCAATATGAATGTTAAAAAAAACAGTAGTAATAGTAATAATAACTGTAATTGTAATAATTAGTTAAGAGATATACAACATAAAAAAGATGTAAAATGTGACATCGAAAACATAAAACATGGGGATAGAGTAAAAACGTAGAGCTTTAGAATGTGTTCGAACTTAAGGTATCAACTTAAGATAGACTGTTATAAATCTAAATTGTTATTTGTAAGCCTCATGGTAACCACAAAGCAAAAACCTATTGTATATACACAAAAGATAATGAAGAAGAAATCTAAGCATACCACTAAAGAAAGTCATCAAACCACAAATGGAAAGAGAAAGAGGAAAATAAAGGAAAAGGGGAAACTATAGAACACCGACAAAACAATTAACAGAATGGCAAGAAATATGTATCAATAATTACTTAAATGTAAATGGATGAAATTCTCTAATCAAAAGACATAGAGTGGCTGAATGAATGAGAAAACAAGACCCACCTATATGCTACCTACAAGAGACTAATCTTTAGATTTAAGGACACACAGACTGAAAGTGAAGGGTTGGAGAAAGATACTCCATGCAAATGAAAACCAAAAGAAAGCTGGGGTAGCTATACCTATATCAGACAAAATAGACTTTAAAACAAAGATTGTAATAAGAGACAAAGAAAGCATTACATAATGATAAAGGGGCCAATCCAATAAGAGGATACAACATTTGTAAATATTTATGTGCCCAACACAGGAACACCTTAATATATATATAACAAATATTAACAGACCTAAAGGGAGAAACAGACAGTAATACAATAATAGTAGGGGACTTTGATATCCCACTTCCACCAATGGATAGATCATTCAAACAGAAAATCAATAAGGAAACATTGGCCTTAAATGACACATTAGACCAGATGGACTTAACTGATATATAAGAACATTCCACTCAACAGCAGCAGAATATACATTTTTCTCAAGTGTGACTAGAACATTCTCCAGGATAGATCATATGTTAAGCCACAAAACAAGTCTTAACAAATTAAAGAATACTGAAATCATTATTGAGCATCTTTTCTGACCACAATGGTATAAAACTAGAAATTATAAAAAGAAAATTGGAAAGTTCACAAATATATTTTTATAGAGATTAAACAACATGTTACTGGTCAAAGATGAAAAGAGAAATAAAAAAATACCTTGAGAGAAATGAAAATGGGAATACAACATAAACTTATGGGATGCAGCAAAAGCAGTTCTAAGAGCAAAGTTCATAGAGATAAATGCCTACCTCAAGAAACAAGAAAAATCTCAGACGAACAACCTAACATTACCCCCCAAGGAATTAGAAAAAGAAGAACGAATGAAGCTCAAAGTTAGGAGAAGGAAGGAAATTACAAAGATTGAAGAGGAAATAAATGAAACGAAAAGACAACAGAAAAGATCAATGAATATGAGCTGATTCTCTGAAAAGATAAATTTTGCACAGTGAAGAAAACCATCAACAAAATAAAAAAGCAACCTACTGAATGGGAGAGAATATTTGCAAATTAGATATATGATAAGGGATCAACATCCAAAATAAAGAACTTCTACAACTCAATAGCAAAAACTCCCAAACAATCCAATTGAGAAATGGGCAGGATATCTGAATAGACTTTTTTTTTTTTTCCAGAGAAGACATGGAGATGGCCAATAGGTACTTAAAAGATGTTTAACATCACTAATCAGAGAAATGCAAATCAGAACCACAGTATTACCTCATACCTCTTAGAATGGCTATTATCAAAAGAGAAGAAATAAAAAATGTTAATGTGATGTGGAGAAAAGGGAACTCTTGTGAGCTGTTACATGAGAATGTAAATTGGTGCAGTCATTACAGAAAACAAAATGGAGTTTCCACAATAAATTAAAAATAGAACAACCATATGATCCAGCAATTCCACTTCTGAGTTTTTATCTGAAGTCTACAAAAATGTTAACTCAAAAAGATATATGAGCACCCTCATGCTCATTGTACCATTATTTACAATAGCAAAGATAGGGAAGCAATCTAAACGTCCACTGATGGATGGTTAAGGAAATGTGGTACATATATACAATGAATACACACACAGAGAGAGCCATAAAAAAAAAAAAGAAATCTTGCCATTTGTGACAATATGGAAGGACCTTGAGAACATTATGCTAGGTAAAATAAGCACACAGAGAAAGACAAATACCATATGATCTCACTTACATGTGTCATCTAAAAAAAAGAAAAGAAAGCAAGCTTCGAACTCATAGATACAGAGAACAGAATGATGGTTGACAAAGGTGCAGGGTGGAGTTTGGATAAATGGGTGAAGGTTGGTGATCAAAGGTACATACTTCCAGTTATAAAATAAATCATGGGGATATAATGTACACCATGTTGATTACAGTTAATAATACTGTATTGCATATCTGAAAGTTGCTACCATATATAGAGCTTAGAAGATCTCATCACAAGAAAAAAATTGTAACTATGTACGGTGACAGACGTTAATAAACTTATTGTGACCATTTTACAATATAGACACAAATAATGAATCATTATGATGTACACCTGAAAATTATATAATATTATATGTCAATTATACCCAACTGAAAAAGATTTTTTTGAAGTTTGCATTTTGGAAAGTTCTTTTTATTACTGACATAGCATCAACTTTCTCTATTTTCTGACTTTCTCATAGAAAACCTCTAATAACTTAAGTATTACATTGTTTCTTAATGATATCTTCAACATTATGTATGTTCAAGAAGAAACAACAGCTCTGTAAATGCAGGGTTAGTATGACAGATAATTTACAAAAGAAATTTTTCTCATTGTGTTTGAATTCTTGGAATTCTATCTTCAAAATCAGTTTTTGAACAGAGGGGTCTCTCTTTGAATCATGGACTTGTGACTTCCTCTAATGGTTGTTTCTACTTGCCATGTCAACCCCTAGACCACAGCTGTCTTTTGGAAAATAATTTAGTCAACCTCTGTGTGAAGCTGTACATTCTAGAGAAGTGGCTCACACAGCTCATTCTAACACCCGTTCACTTGGTCGAACAGTGAAACAGTCCATCACAGAATTAGCTACAATTGTTGAGTGTTTGCCATGTGTTAGGCACTGTACTTAAGATTCATCACGTCCATCTCTTACTGACTGTGTGGGTCTCAGGCAGTCATTTAAGATCCCAGAGCCTTAATTTCTTTACTGGCTCACTGTGGCCATTTAGTGTAGGAATAACTCAGTTAACATGTGGTCAATGCCTGACAAATACATATTCTCTCTCATCTTCTCCTGTTCCACATGACAAGAGGGTAAGTTGAAAATTTTCAGGGCAAGAAGGCCCTGGAAAATCTAAAGAAGAGCTTACGTTAGGTGGAAAAACTGAGACTTGAACAGCAAAACCTGTTAGGTGCACTTTTGTATTTATTTTATTAGGGAGGTAAAGCAAAGTTGAAAACCCAGCTTCTTTCACTTCTCCTTTCAGTGGGCCACCCATTTTGGAGATAAGAACAGGGGTAGCTTAGCCAGGAGTGGCTCTGTGTGACATTCCACAGGTGCCTGGTGACAAAGAAGTATAAAACCGTCTGATTTCTCAATTACCCAATGTCCCAAACTGGGCAAGTTCCATCTCCAATAAATAACTTTCGGTAAGACTGCTCTTCCCACAGGGCTTCACCTTAAGAACTCCTCCTCTTGAGTGAAGTGACTGGTGATGAGACTTTTAAAAAAGACTAGGACTAGATGCTACAATGGATCTCGGAATGCATTTATGCCAGGTTCACAAAAATACGTGATACATTTTCAAGGACACTCTTCTTTCACAAGCTATTGAAACTCTGTCTTCTACGTTTCCTCTTCTACTACTTCTGCTACTCCATGCTCCTGCCACCACCTCAACCACTTCCTTCATTTCAACAGAACACACACACACGGGTTTGTGCGTATATATCTCTGTATATGATACATGTGGTTTAAATGTGTATATATACATATGTGTGTATATACAGATACATATGTATGCATATGGATGTGTGTGTATATGTGTGTAAGCTCAACCTTACTAGTACATGTTTCATGACCTTACTAATTCTCCTTTGATTTCAACAACAACAGCAACAAACAACAAATACGATGCCTCCAACATCACTTTGGACAGTAGGTATTTCTTTGTTTTTAATCTATGAATATATACCTCCATTCTTCCTATAAAGGGCCACAAAACTATGATGACTCTGGTAATTAATTTTATGTGTTAACTTGACTGGCCACAGGATGTGCAAATTAAATCTTATTTCTTTCCTTTTTTTTAAAAAAAGCTTATTTATTTATTTGAGAGAGCAAGTGAGCATGCACAAGTGGGGGGGGGCAGATGGAGAAGAAGAGAGAGAGAATCCTGAAGCAGACTCCCTGCTGAGCGCAGAGCCCAATGTTGGGCTCGATCTCCCGACCCTGAGCTCAATCAAGAGTTGGCTGCCCAACAAACTGAACCACCCAGGTGCCCTTAGGCTTGACTTTATTAAAGCACTCTGACTTCTAATGCCACCACTAAAACAGATTCTTACTTAACCACTGGCAACTTCTGTAGCCTAAAACAAAATAACCTTAAGCCCTCATTTTCATTAGTAAGGTCAACTTGTAAAATATCAGCTTTTCAAAGTTCAGGGTGTCTCTTTGAGGTGGCCATAATATCCAACCCCACCTGTTTCACAGAAAGGTAGAGTAGGTTATCCTCAGAACTAGAGGCAGGCTTTCAGTAGGAACCCTGTCTGCTGACTCCAGCCCTTCTGTAGCATTAGACCTTGTTACAGACAAACCCCGCTCCTACCAACAAACAGCAAAGAGCTGCCATTTATCAAGTGTTGACAACACTGCCCGACACTCTGTGGAATTACAGATATTCATCTCAATCCTCACAGCGATCCTAGGAGGTAGGATTTATTGATTTCACCATCTCCCATGTGAGGAAATGGGATGCCCAGAGATATTAAATTACTTTTCTAAGATCACACAGCTCATGTGTAGAGCTCAAAATAGGAATCTGAGGTCATTTAACCCAAAGTCTATGCTCTTAAACCTTTATAATGTACTCCCTGGATCTTCTAATTTTCAAGGGTTGCAAAAGCATTCCATTTAAGCAAACTTCAATTATGTAGCTGGTAAGAGGTGGTAGATCCTCTACCTGCTTTCAAAGAATTTATAATTTAAACAGGAAGGTGGGGAACACCCAGGAATCTGGGAAATAATAAAAACAGGCTGTATATAATCATATACAGTTAAGTATATGTACCATCTAAGTCCATACTATAATTCAGCCAACACTTAATGAACTATTCCATGCTGCACTGCCCCCCTCACACCCCAATACTATCCATTCTAAACATGTCAGATTACGGTTCCTGAACACACCAGGATGCTTTCTGCTGCTGTATTTCCTTGTATGTGGCTCTCCTGATTGTCAGATCCTTACCACCAATGGACTCTTCACAAACTCCGACTTTTTCTTTTAAATACAAATTGTCATTCTCTTTGCTCCTTCTATAATCTATTCTCTACAAAGTGGTCAGAATGATCTTTTATTTATTTTTTTAAATTTTATTATGTTAGTCACCATACACTACATCATTAGTTTTTGATGTGGTGTTCCACGATCCATTGTTTTCATATAACACCCAGTGCTCCATGCAGTACGTGCCCTCCTTAATACCCATCACTGGGCTAAGGGGAACCCTCTTACACTGTTGGTGGGAATGCAAGTTGGTACAGCCACTTTGGAAAACAGTGTGGAGGTTCCTCAAAAAGTTCAAAATAGAGCTACCCTATGACTCAGCCAATTGCACTCCTGGGTGTTTACCCCAAAGACATAGATGTAGTGAAAAGAAGGGCCATATGCACCCCAATGTTCATAGCAGCAATGTCCGCAATAGCCAAACTGTGGAAAGAGCCGAGATGCTCTTCAACAGATGAATGGATAAAGACGATGTGGTCCATATATACAATGGAATATTACTCAGCCATCAGAAAGGATGAATACCCAACTTTTACATCAACATGGATGGGACTGCAGAATGATCTTTTAAAAAGAGGATTTGAACCTTATCACAGTCCTGCTTAAGACTCTTCTGAGGCTTCTTAGTATTCCTTTTTTTTTTTTTTTTTTTTAAAAGCAGGCTCCATGCCCAGCATGGAACCCAATGCAGGACTCCATCTCATGACCCAGAGATCAAGACCTGAGCTGAGATCAAGAATCGGATGCTTAACTGACTGGCCACCCAGGCTCCCCCTTCCTATGATTCTTAATGAAAAATAGCAACAACGACAAAACCATCAAGTGCCTCCCCTTTATTATCTCACTTCCAGCCATCTCTCCAAACTCCTGTCAACCGTTCTCCTCCTCCCCCAGGACACTCTGACCGCACTGGCCTCCTCTCTCTCTTGCAAGGATGCCACGCTCTCTCCCACCTCAAGGACTTTGCAAACGCTGTTCCTGCCACCTGGAATGCCTCTGTACGGCCAGCTCTTTCTCAACCATCAGGTCTCCCCTTATAGGTTGCCTTCAAGAAAGTCCTTCTTCTACTTCCTTTTCCAAATAGCCCACTTCCCCACCATCTCTAACTATGTAACCTTTTGCTTTATACAATTCTTAGTAGTTGTCCTCATCTTTTAAATCATTTCATTACTTTTTATTACTTTAACTTTTTCTCTTTTGCTCTGCGATCTTGTAGATTACTCACTGCTGGGTCCCTCATGACAAATACAATGCCTGGCACATTATAGGCTCCCGGTTGTCTGGATCCTCCTCTGATGCTCACAGTGATACTAAAAACTCCTACACAGACAGACAGATGATGTCCCATCATGAACATTTTCACTGAGCTCCTCCTCTGTGCCAAGCCCTGTTCTAGAATATAAAAGCAAATAATAGACAAGGTCCTTGAACTCAAGACTCTCATGGTGTAGAATAACAAAGAAAATAAACCAGAATAATTATTTTTTGAAGCCTTAGTAAGTACTAACAGAAGAATTAAGCAGGTCTCTGCATGGAACAGATGGTACCTTGGGACAGGAGACACAGGTGTGGTCGGGGACGTGGACATGTAAGCATTTATCATTGCCTTACATTTTATCATTATTTGCTTCTCTGTCCTTTTCCCCAACTAAAAGGTATATTCACAAGGGCAAAGACTGTGTTTTCTGTTGCATTATCAGCATCCAGAACCATGTCTGGCACATAGCTGGGGCTCAATAAACATTCACTGACTAACTGACGGACTGAACGAATCCTGCACAATGAAAAGAAGCCATCAGCTAAAGATCTGGGAGGAGATCACCCTGCACACAGGAAGAAGCAAACATCTGTGCTTGGTAAGAACATGCTTGCTATGTTTGAGGAGAGGCCAAAAGGCCAGTCAAGGGGCTGAAGACAGTGAGCAAGGGAGAGAGTAGAGAGTAGCCAGAACATGGAGGGCCTTCTTGGCCCTGGTAAGGAGTTTGGGGTTTCTGAATTTTATTTTAAATGTAAAATGGAAGCGAAGTGCTCAGTGATTAGTTTGAGTAAATAACTACTGAATGGGACATGAGAGGGGAGTGCTTCCAAGATGGCTAAAATAATAAGAACAAGCTTCCTGGCAGTGTCACTTGGAGCTGAATGCTAGACTAAGAAGGAGCAGAGGACAGAGAAGCTTTCGTGTGAGTCCGCGTCTTACCATGGCAAGAGCCCTTCCTTGATACGCAAGGGCAAACAAGGGCTCAGATTGCTCTAATTATTTGGCTTTGTTTAATATTAGAAGGACAGGATACTGGACATGCAGATCAATGCAAAATATACAGATGAGAGACCCTAGGAATGCTTTCTTTATTTATATAAAAGTTCATGGAAGGTGGTATCATTTTATCTGTCTATCCTTCTCCCTCAATTTGTCACTCAATTGGTCCATCCCTTACTCAGTCATTAAATAATTATTACTTGTGCATCTACTTCCCGGTGGTGAGAAAGGTGAGAAAGACAATCATGGAATTTGGGATCTAACAGATAACCTTCAAAAATCTCTCATGTTGGGAAAATTCTTTTTTTTTTTTCCACATTGGGAAAATTCTGAGACAGGATAGTGTAGTTGAAAATCCTTATAAACATCCACTCCTGAGTTCACATCCCAGATTAGCTCTGTATTATCTTATACTTTAGGGCAAGTCATGAAAAATCTCTAAGCCCTCAGTTTTTTGCTTTCCAAAGATGATCATGGGGCCACCATGAGTCCGACAGGTGTAAAGGGCTAAGCAATGCCCAGCACGTGGTCATACTCAAAGATTAGTTTCCATTCAACCTTTCTGAATAAACCTATGTACAAAAATAGGCTCCAAGTCTGCAACTTTATTGCCTGATTTCTTCCTAAGTCATGAATTTTTCCAGCTTGTCATCTGAATGCCACTAAAGAGAAAAGGTGAGACTTGGCACCAAACACTGATACTTTAGCTCCACCCTGGCCAGGCTCCCTCACTCAGACCTTTCTGCAGACAGAAAAAGAAATCCTAAGGCAGGAGAGGTATTCAAGAACACCTGCCTGGGGAATGTCTAGGCTCAATTTGTAGAGCAGGCCATGCATCTGTTAAACCTTGCCCTCTTTGTAGGTAAAGATCCAACGTGAATCCTCAGGAAGGCAGTCTGCAGCAGTGGTTGAGAGGTGATGCTCTGGAGCCCTGTTGACCAGGTCAAACTGGTCAAACTGCAAGGGTGATGATCCAGCTGCATCACCTTGGATTCCTTAACCTGACTCTGTGGTCAGAGTCTGCTAACCACCAACTTCATGGGGTGGTTTTGGTTGGGAGTTTTAAAATGAGAGATTGGACATTAAGTATGGAGAACAAGCCTTTGTCTACGGTAAGTGTTCAATAAAGAGAATCTATAGGTGAATTTCTTTTTAAAGGAGGAATACTTGAAAATACGAAAGAAGACCCCCAAATAAAGATTGTTCTTGCCGACACTGCCCTTAGAAAAATAGGCCAAACAGTGGCCTTGTTGTGTTTCTGAAACCCAATTAAAAAGGGATAATAATTCATTGAAGTGGCTTGAGCTGAAGCCACCTGAGTATTCTGGGTCTAAAACTTATAAGGCACAGGGTTAAAAAATTCCCCTGTCTGCATTCTTGCCCCATGGTGATTCAATTTAGCGCACTGGGATGTGAGGGCCCACCTTCACTTCCCAGATACCATCATGAGGAACCTGATTTGCTGTTGGTCAGTCAGAGCAGGTCTCTACCAGTCTTGACTACCTGAAATGCAGCCATTTACAAAAGAACACTAGTTCCAAACAACTTAAAAACTAGTCCTAAGAGGTTCTGGTCTTACATGCACATGTAAGACATGCTTGTTTTAAGTAAAAAATCCCAAACAGCTTTCAGGAAGGGTCAGTATTGTACTGAGCACTGATGATGTGCCAAGGACTCCACACATGCTGATGCCAACAATGATGCAAACAGCAAATCACCTGGAAATGGTCTTATATTCCTCCCTTGCCCACCTGTCTCATTCTTCACAGCTGATCTCACAATCACTCCTTTTCCTCCAAAATACATCTTGAGGCCCTTTTTAA